AATCAAAAAATAAAATACCTGTATTTCAAATATAATGCAAATGAATTATATCCCTTTTCCAAAAATAAAAGAGAAAAAACTTTCCTCATTCAAGAATTTTTAAGAGGAAGATGGAAATAATTAGAAAAAAGGTGCATTTTCACAAAAGAGCAACATAATAAAACTATGTATTATATTTACTTATCCTTAGCTTCCCAGGAAGCACAATTTCCTAGCAAATCACCCTCTTTCTTTTAGTCCCTTCTGGAAATGATTGGGGAAGACACCTGTGTAGTATGTGAAAAAGATGGTGGACCAGGTCGTAATAGAAATCTCTAACAGTTCCTAAATTTTGAATTTAACATTACACAATCCTCAGTGAATTCTAACTTTTGAAAGCAGATTTTTAAGTTCATTCCAGACCTAATTTGTATAGTATTTTGTTATTATTTCAATGGGTTTTATGTAATTTTCAGCATTGACATTTTAGCACAAGGTGACATATTGTACTAGGCAAATCTGCAAAAGATCTCTTTAATGTGCTGAAAAGCAAAGATGTCTCTTTGAAGACTAAGGTGTACCTAACCCAAGCCATACTATTTTTGATCGCCTCATATATATGTGAGAGCTGGACAATGAATGAATAAGGAAGACCAAAGAAGAGTTGGTGCTTTTGAGTCATGGTGTTGGTGAAGAATACTGAAAGTCCCAGGGACTTCCAAAAGAACTAAGAAATCTGTCTTGGACGAAGTGCAGCTGGAATGCTCCTTGGAAGCAAGATTGACCAGACTTCATCTCACCTACTTTGGTCATGTTTTCCAAAGGGAACATCTTTGGAGAAGGATGTCATACTTGGTGATGCAGAGGGTCAATGAAAAAGGGGAAGGTCCTCAGTGAGATGGATTGACACAGTGGGTGCAACAAAAGACTCAGGTACAGCAAGGATTGTGAGGCTGGCACATGACTGGGCAGTGTTTTGCTCTGTTGTACACTGGGTTGCTACGAGTCGGAGCTGACTCAGGCACTTAACAACAACAATCATATAATAATAATGTATTTTAAAGATTATTTTAAAAAATAATGATTGCTGTTAAGGTTTATTCCTTGATGTTAATAAAACATAACAATGTAAGTTTAGCTTTTCTGCCTCTGTGGTTATATCACTTCTAAAAGACACTAAGTAAAGGAAGAAAAACTCTTTACTGGAGAGAAAATCTAACATTACCTGGTGACAGTTAAGTCTTTGCAAAAAAATTCAAGTCTCTTGAAGTCTTGGAAAGACTTATTTTATAAGACTTTAGGAAGAATAATGGAGATGTATTTTCATATTAAAACTGTCAAACACAGACACTGAACTCTGAGTAAAGAAGAGACTACCTGGCTAATAGAAACAGCCTTCTCTCCTTTCTTGAAAATTTCAGATATATCTACTCTCACAAATTTTGACCCTGAACAAATTACCTTTTGAATTTTAGTCAAATTTTCATGTTAAAGGACATATTTGTCAGGAAGATAATTTCCATGTCCATTTGCTGGGATGATAAAATCACTTAAATTTCTATATGTAACTGTATTTCACTTAATAATCACATTTTCCAGAAATCTCTTCCTTACATTAGCAGAGAGATGCACTTCTCTTTAATCATATTTCCATGGTATATGCATATATGTAATATATGCATATAGCATATGATATATAATACATGTATATACCACATATAATATATACACCATTATATATATACTATATTATATATAACCCTTCTCACAAGATTTCTTGAGAATTGTGCAGTGATCATTTGTGTTCTACTACTCTTTATTTCATTCTTGATCTTTCACCTTATTTCTCATTCCTATTTAAATCCATACATAATCTCTCTTTCTCTTATTTCTCAAGTATGAATTTGGATACATAAATAATAGAGTAAGACTCTGAATAAACACAATTGTCCAGTTGGATCTATTTGGGAGACTGGGTGTAGAACAGACATAACAGGTTTTTGTATGATAGATGTAGATCACTTTCTTAGAAGGAAGTCCTTTAAGCCACTTTTCATGCTTCCGTGAAATTTGAGTCCCATTAAACTCACAAAAATAAAACAAAAAATCTTGCATATAGTACTGGCTAAATACTCATTTGTTGAATATCTTAAACAGTACCAGTTTCTTAAAAATTGTTATAACCTCCTTTATATCTACTTGATCTTATTACAACTATCTCTTTTCTTCTCAAAGTTTAGATAATAATAATTCATTTTGCAAGCATTCTTTATACCCCATTTCGCATCATATACACTAATAGTAATAGACTTATCTGTTGCAAAAATGTTATGGAATCTTTGCCCATGAGTTTATGGCTAATTCTAAAATCTTCCATTCCATGTTTACTCATATTATCTATTTATGAATAAGTAGAGCTGATAGAGGGCTTTGGCTATCTACATATTATTGATAGAGTATCTATGCAGTATTGGTAGAAACAACCTTCAGTTTGACTGTATATTATATTCAAATAGCATTACCTCATTATTCATGGTGGTGGCTTCCCAATAGCCTCCATATCCAACTAGAAAGTTTATAATCAACTATTGTCTGGAATTCTATTTTTCTCAGGCTGTCCACTGATCCACTATTTCAATTTCCTCTAAAAAGGGCATTTACGTTGAAAATGGATTGAGAAGGAAATCCTGAGACTGACAAGACATTGCCAGCCCAGCCTCTCTTCTTGTAAGACTGCTTAAGTCTATCATTTGTCATGCAGTCCTAGATCATAATAGAGATTTCCGAGTTTTCTGCTCTTATAACACTCATACATACAAATATGGCATATGTTTTAGGGAACAGTGAAAATTTGAATGAATTAGCAGTTCTTTAATATGTTCTCATAGGAAAAACAAAGAACTGAACTGATTTTACTTCACTCAGCATTCAATATCCCCATTAAATTTTATAAAATGGAAAATCCTTTTAGGCTAAGAACCCAAATGCTCTATTATAGCAAACACTAAAAATAATCTGCCAAGTGTCCAAATGAGTATTGAGAATTCTGTATCTTCAGTAGAAAGCCAGAAAAATGTACCAGTTTGAATGTGCAAATGAATTATGAATAATAAATAAAAAATTTAAGAATTTTAGATATAAAAATAATGAGGAATGAATGTTTATTGAGGAGCTCTGGTGGCATAGTTCCTAAGGCATTTGTCTGCTAACCAGAAGGCTGGTGGTTCACTGGCCACTCCTCAGAAGGAAGATTGGGCAATCTACTTCCATAGTGATACCGCCTCAGAAACCCAAGGAGGGGTTGCTATGAGATGTTTATTATTCACTTAAATTTTTTTGTAGACTGAATGAAAATATGTGATTTATTGTTACTTAATTTTACATTATAACTAGATTCAATTATAAACTAAATGTTTTTTAAAGACACATCTTTATTCTTTCTTTTATTCTACAATAAAAGGAATCATTTCCTTAATTAATACTAAATAATGTGTAATAACCTGATTAGCATTACATCTTAACTATATCTGGAAGAAAGTATAATTACTACGTATTGATGTTGTTGTTGTTGTTATGTGCCGTTGAGTCGGCCCCGACTCATAGCGACCCCTCCTTGGGTTTCCGAGGCAGTATCACTACGGAAGTAGGATTGCCCAACCTTCCTTCCGAGGAGTGGCTGGTGGGTTTGAACCGCCAGCCATCTGGTTAGCAGGCAAGTGTCTTAGCCACTATGCTACCAGAGCTCCCGATAGGTTGTTATATTTTTATACAAATATATTATAATACAGATACAAAATGGAGAAAGTCAAATTTCATGAATTTTTAAAAGATATATACTTTTAATACACTAAAAGTATAATTACAAAGAAAAAGGGTAATTGAAAAATGAACAGTGCAAACATCTCTGGACACTTTATTTGAATCAGTAAAAACAGAGTGAACAATAAGTTAGAAATATTCAGCAACTGTGCTTAATAAACATTAATTTCTTAAAAAAATGCTAAAGATAATTTTCAAAGTGGTTCTGATCTTTTTGTGTACCAAATTGCCTTTTAGTCATTAATTCTATATGAATTATGGAGCAATTGTATAGTGAGAAACCTTGTTACAGTAAGAGCCCAAAAGTTATGAAACAGTTTAAGATACAACCACAGATATGAAAAACATTTTTTATATAAGTAGTTTCTTAATTTGCAATAATGAAAATGGCAAAATTAAAGAAAAACTTAAGTACTATCATGATTCAATAAGAATGGAAGAGGAAAGACTGCCATGTACCAGGGTCTAAAAAAAGGAGAGTCACCATTAAAAAAGAAATAATGACTTTTTAACTAAAAATTTGAACAAGTAAGATTTTTACAAATAAAATTTCTTTGATTTATTTCAAGGCCTATTCTAATAAGAATTCAGATTCATTCTGATAATTACCTGTGTCTAAAAGTGGTACCACCACTGAGAAAATTAAAAGTTTAGTTTATTTCTTATATAGCACACATTGTACAGAAATAGGCACCATGTAGTAAGTTACAGGAACCATAAACACATCTCACTCCCCAGTTATTTATCTCTTGAAGCGAGAAGAGGTCATGATGCAAAAGTGTTCTTGTATGCTCTAAAAATGGAATAATACAGGGATTTTGAGTTTAGAGAATCTCATATTCATATTTCAGCAAATGAAAGCATTAAGTTGTGTTTCTTCCTCCTAGTCTGCCATGTCCCTGATCTACCATTATGTTATTCCTAATTTGGAGCGAGCAATTTTCTAGACCCTGTTGTACATTGAACAGAGACCAGATGCTGAGAATGATGTTGAGAAGTGACCAGAGATTAGCAAGAGGATGATTTGGGTGCTACTACTGATCAGTGTGACTTCCATTTAATTAAAAAGCATCACATGGTATCGTTAAAACTTATGGAAAAAAACAAGATTTGAATAGTGATGAAATTTTGTGGCATAGTTTGAAGAGGCATGAGAGAGATTTGGGAAAGCAGCTGACAGTTGTCAACAAGAAAAGCTTTACCTTACTTGATCTTTTCCAACTCTTCCTCATTAGCATGGTCTGTAAATGAAATAAAGCATTTTAATGATCTTTTCACTCAAGTAAAGATAGGGCAGCCAATTGTATTCCAGAGGAAACTTAACATTTATTAGCTCTTTAAACAGCAAACAGTTTCCAGCAACAACTACATAAGACAAAAATTGTTTTAGAAAACATGTACATACAACTAGAAGCACCTTTAACATTCAAGCAGTCTTTCTGGTGAGAGTTCATTTGATTTATTCTTTTGTACAAAGAATGGGACAATATATTTGAAGCAGAACAAAAATGCTGAAATACTTTTAATTATTGATTGGGGAAAAAATGTCACATTAAGTTTCAAGATAGGCGACTGTTCCTTTTGGTGGTGTGGGTGGAGGGTGTAACCGACTTTACTAGGCATGTAACAATCTTTCTTTTTCAAACACATTCAAAGTTTGTTGCTTTGGTGGCATCCTCCAATTGTCTCTGTTTCTAAATAATCCTTAGTTAACAGGGACTACAAATGCTTTTAGTTGAGGAAAGTGATGCATATTTTTATGGCTATTAGTGGATCTTCCTTCCTTGCTAAATGTTTAGCCAAAACATATCCTTTAAGCTAGTGTGCTTACATCATTGTAAGAAGTATTTATGGCCAAAGGTTTGAATTAAGGTCATAGAGATTAGTAATGGGTGCCCAATATCATTGCCCTGTGGAATAAAACAAATCATAAAAACCCTCTCTTCAGTTCTTTCAAAAAATTTTGCAATGAATGTCGAAGTGTTAACCTTTTGTTAACCACTATATTCTGCCTGACTTTTACTGTTATCTTTAATACAGATAAAATGGAAAACAGGGGTTATTTGGAGCAAAACAGAGCTTATAGTAGTGTTTGACATATTTGTATATCTTGGGCCTAGTGGCCTAGGCCCAAGGCATTTGATTGCTAACCAGAAGGCTGGCAGTTCAAACTCACCAACCACTCCTCAGAAGGAAGACTGGGCAATCTACTTCTGTAGAGATGTTGTTGTTGTTATGTGCCGTTGAGTCGGACCTGACTCATAGCGACCCCTCCTTGGGTTTCCGAGGCAGTTATCACTATGGAAGTAGATTGCCCCATCTTCCTTCCAAGGAGTGGCTGGTGGGTCTGAACTGCCAGCCTTCTGGTTAGCAGTCAAGTGCCTTAGGCACTATGCCGCCTCCGGAAACCCAAGGAGGGGTCCCTATGAATAGGGATCGACTTGAGGGCAGTGAATTTTTTTTTTATCAAGTGCACTAATGCCTCAAAGAACTATATCTACTTCAGCAGAATCCACTCTAGTGCAGGACTATTATAGAAACCACTTTCAGAGATTACAAAACTACAAAGAAGGAAAGATTTTAATATAAGGCTAAGTCATATAGAATGCAACCTTTGGCCTAAACTGAGAGAATGGGATATTTTAAAAACAAGCTGTATGGTACCATAGAAGTTTTATGGTAGGAAATGAGAAAGTCATAAAATTATGAAAAGCATGATTAAATCTCTCTTTTCTGTAGATAGAGGTTTTATATCTCTATATAACCAAAACCAAACCAAATTCACTGCTGTTGAGTAGGATCCAACTCTTAGAGACCTCTCCTTAGGTTTCTGAGATGGTATCTCTTCAGAAGTAGATTGTACAACTTCCTTCCAAGGAGTGGCTGGTGGGTTTGAACCACCAGCCTTCTGGTTAGCTAGTCAAGTGCCTTAGGCACTACACCACCAGAGCTCCTATATCTCTATATACTCAGCATTAAACATTGACCAAAACATACAAGAGTAACAGATTTTGTAATGTTTTAATCATTCCCTAATTTTTTTTCAAATGGGCCAAGAAACTGCAAGGTGTTATCTTCAAATATTATTACAGTAAAATATTTTATATGTTTTCTAAGTATTAATGTCCAATTTTGAAGGGAAAAAAATAAACATCATTGGGTTGTGGAGATAGACATATAGTGAATATACGATAAACGTTTGTTGGTGATGTTGAGTAAGTCATTGTCAACAGTATCATTAACATCACCACTACCACCACCATCATCATCACCAGAAGGAATCAGCAACCAAATGCTTTTATGGCATGGGATATTCACAAAAGCTGCTCCATTCAGAGTCAGACAGTAAATGCTCCACTTTCTCAGAAAGCAGAGTTTTAATGGACAAAGACCTAGAATTCCTAGAGACAATGTTTTAAGCCAAATCAAGTTGAGCAATAAAAATAACTTAAAAAAGGGGAAAATCTCTTAACTCATGGTCATTTGGGAGCTCTGGTAGCATAGTGGCTAAGACACTTGCCTGCTAACCAGACGGCTGGCGGTTCAAACCCACCAGCCACTCCTCGGAAGGAAGGTTGGGCAATCCTACTTCCCTAGTGATACTGCCTCGGAAACCCAAGGAGGGGTCGCTATGAGTCGGGTATGACTTGACGGCACATAACAACAACAACAAATGGTCATTTACCATCACCATCTAGCATGTGCTCTTGGTGGCACCTGAAGGGGGGCCAACTGAGCAGTTCTATTAACCTGGTGTGGCCCAACATCCTCGAGCACAGTAGTCACAAAGGCTTAGTGAGGGGAGGCCTCCTGCCTCCCGTGGCAACTCCAAAGGGGCACCAGGAAAGGTACGGAATGACATCCCCAGGCACCACAAATATGAAAGGCTTCCTACTGAGGCAGCCAGACAAGAAGGGGAAGGCATTTCTGCTGTGGTGTCACCACTATCAAAGTATATGCATTTTGAACTTGGGGGTGGGTACAATTTAGAGATTGCCCATGAGTGCTCAAATTAGGGAAGGGAGGTGCAATTTAAGATTGTTCCTGGGCACTCCACCATCACTTTGGCCACTGTACCTGCTTAGAACCACTGCATATAATTAACTTTCATGTAAAGCAAACTGTTGTTGCTGTTGTTGTTATGTGCCGTCGAGTCAGCCCTGACTCATAGCGACCCCTCCTTGGGTTTCGGAGGCAGTATCACTATGGAAGTAGGATTGCCCAACCTTCCTTCCGAGGAGTGGCTGGTGGGTTTGAACCGCCAGCTTTCTGGTTAGCAGTCAAGTGTCTTAGCTACTATGCTACCAGAGCTCCCAAGTTAGTATTTTTCCTGTCTCTCAAAGATAATTTAAAAACAGGCTGTATGGTATTTTTTTTCAGATTGGGAAACTGATGCAAACAAAATGCCTGCGATTTCCTGAAGGATAAATATGATAGCTTTACCAGTTATGAGGACCAATTCATTTTTCCTGATACAGTATATAGACTTCTATTATTAGATCCAGTGACTCTCAAAATGGCCTGGGTTTTATAAGAATTTTTATCATCTAATAAGCAATGGGTTTAAATGTCACATTCTCAAATCTCTTTTCTTTGTAGGTAGCTGGATTAAAGTACATTCACTAAACTGAATACTAGAAAAATTTAAAAAAAGTAGAAAGAGAGGGAATTTAACAGACATACTAATAACATTGTTATCCATGCTATCTGTGAGACATGTTAGAGAAGAAAGATTGTTTTGAGAATGTTAAAGATAGAAGATGAACGAAATTCTAGAAAAAACAAGATTTGGTTTTTGATCTATGACCTTAAATTCAGCTGAGAAACATATGAATTTATTGTTGAAAGTATTATTATCAAATATTATTATAATACAACTCACATTCTTATATTAATGATTAGCAGCTCAACTTTCTTTAAAGCCAGTATAAGCAGCACAAAAATGATTATGATTTTAGATGATTTTACAATCTCAAACCATTTTTCATTTTATCCTTTATTTTAGTGATGTTTTCTTATACAGCTTATGTGTGTGTTTTGGTGTGTGTGTTTATACATACATACATATATATATATATATATATATATATATATATCATAGAATGTCTAGAGATTATAGTATGTACATCTTACAAAACATATACATTCAATTATTTGTAGCTAGATATTTTTCCAAATGTTGGCTATGGAATAATTCTGAAAAATATGGAAAATAAACCAACATAAGAAATACATATATTTAAATTCACTATAAGCATACTAGAGTCAATTCATATGTTTCTTAGAATTTTCTTTTTTTTTTTTTCTTAGCTTTAGCCAAGCAATATTTAGGTTATCTAAGAGAGTGTGTAACACAAATTAACTCACTTTTATTTCACAAATTCTCCAATGAAGAAAGCTGTGGATTGAACTCTGCTAAGAAAAGAGCCAGAAAGAACTCAAACTCACAATCAAACCAAAGTACAGGACACACGTGTACACTGCAAACTTTTGCAGGTCGAAAACAGGACATGCACTCAACACAGAAACGACACTTGTGCCATGCAACTCAGCATGCCCCCCACGAAAGTTTTGTTTTCTTGTACACACAATGCTAGAAACCTTATATATATATATATATATATATATATATATATTCAAATCTGGGAGTTAGTTTTAAAGATTCAATCTACTAAATCTTAATAGAGAAGATTTTTATATAGCCAAAGAAAACTTCTGCTGTTTCTCATACTATCCTTCTTAAATTGCTGTAATTAGACATTGCAAGTTTTGCAGACTTTTTAGTAGATTCAGTAGGCTGACAGTTTTTTTTTTCAATCCTTTCTTCAGTTTTACTGATATCCAGAACTGGCAATCCACACAAAAGGAAATCATCCAGCTGCATTATTCATGGAACAAATTATCAGTATTAACAGCGCATAAAAAACTCACAAGATAACTGATTTAGAAATCTTAGCACTTTGTGATGCTAAGTACTCTGCATTTCCAGCCATTTATTTCTTCCTCCTTTTCTGTGGCTTTTTCTTAATGCTAATGTTCTATTTCCTATTTGATTGTAGGGATTTATTGTTTAAAAGCTTTTCAAACCCATCTCTTACATTTTCCATTTTAATACGCTTAAAATATTTAGCAAAGTTTTATAAACACAGTCATGAAAATATAGTCTTTGAACTAAAGATTTAAGTCCCCAAAGCTTAAATTATATCTGATATAATAAACAAAGAGAACAGAATTCTTCTTAGAACATTGCTCTGTGTGGGTCACTGCAAAATCGTGCTCTATTCCTTCCTTATACATCATTCTGAATAAATGTACAATGGACTTGTGAAGCATATGTAGCTGATTTCTCATTTGCTGCATTTTGAGCCTGAATTTCTCTAAATAAGATTTGCACCTGAAGTTTTTGAGAAGAAAATTTGTAAATGTTCAGCATACCATTTTGACTGCAGCAATAGGCTAAGTATTTCAGGGACTGGCGATAAAAATCTAATTTGATGGTTCATTAGATCTTTGATTGTTTTAAACGAAGAGACTTCCAATGTAGCCCAAAGAAGTATATTTAAGTAACACTAGAAATGTTACAAAATGAAGAAAATACACTGATTTGTGATTCTAATCCATTGTCATCATTAGAAGCCTTGGGCAGAGAATACAACTTGTATTTAAACAGATTATCATTAATATACCATTGTAATAACTTACTAAAGTATATTAAATAATTATTTAAAAGTAATTGTGACAACTTCGAGGATTTGAATGTTGAAGTAACAATAAAAAATTAAAGTACCTTCTCCTGGTCCTTTGAAGCCTCCCTTCAAACCCTCACAGTGATTTCATCTATGAATCATTGGGCACAGAACAACCACTAGAGTAGGTTTTGAGAGTAGTCATTATGAGAAAAATAATCAGAGGCAATCACTTTTACATATATTTTTTTCAGGAGTGATAGGGCATAGGATGGAATGCACGTGTATTTTAGGTAGGACAAGTGACACGGAAGAAAGCTTGGACATGAGAGAAGGTTAACTGTGAAGGAGTTTACAGATGGGACAGAGGATACAAGTAAGGTAACACATGCTGAAAAGAAAAATGAAGGACTTATAGAACCTAATGCAAAACTCAGGAGATGGTCAATACATGTTTTTTTTTTTTTTTTTGAATAGATGCCTACAAGTGCCCTAGGTTCGGATCACAAAATTTAATTACCAGTGTTGATTAACCATTTTAAAGACAGTTATAGAACTGTTACACAGGAAAAAATAAAACAACAACAAAAAGTACATTTATATATCTTCATTGGGTTTTCATAATGTAAAACAAATACTTCAAAACTCAGATTTAAATAGAGGACATCAGACTAGCTGGGTGCCAGACTGGTTCTCAATAGAATTTACTCAGGTCCACCCACTGCCCTTGAATCAGATCTGACTCATAGTGACTCCTCCTTGAGTTTCCGAGGCAATATCACTACGGAAGTAGATTGCTTAACCTTCCTTCTGAGAAGGGGCTGGTGCGTTTGAACCACCAGTCTTCTGGTTAGCTGTCAAGTGCCTTAGGTGCTATGCCACCAGAGCTCCCTTACTATGGTATGTTGTTGTTGTTGTTATGTGCCGTCGAGTCGGCCCCGACTCATAGCGACCCCTCCTTGGGTTTCCGAGGCAGTATCACTACGGAAGTAGGATTGCCCAACCTTCCTTCTGAGGAGTGGCTGGTGGGTTTGAACCGCCATATAGAAGGGGTCTTTTAGCCCTTCTTTCCCTCTCCTTGAGCCAGTTTACCTCTCTACAACCAACCTCAAGTCTTTGGCTATTAATCATGGCCACAAGAAGGAGTTCAGTTCTGTCGTACCCAGTAGAGCCATACTTGTCATGTTTCTCTCTGCTTCATTAGGTGTGGATGAGGTTGAGATAGAAAAGGCAAGATGTTCACTAGCCAGAGGCTATCTCTGGCATAGGCTGAAACCACTGTGCTTCTTTGGAGCCCTGGCTAAGCCACTTACTTCTCAGGTGAAGAGGACAGAAGCCAGGTGAGAGTCAGTAACAGTAATGGGAGGGAAGAAGACACCATTTCTCAATCAACCTAGCAGAGTAAATTCCAGGGCTACCTCCAACTCTGAAAAGGGAGGGCATGAAGTAGGCAGTGAGTAAAAAATACTCGGCAGTAAGGCTTTCAGGAAAAAGCTGGGGCAAAGGGATTTGAATCAAGGAAATGGCATAAGGATTTCAAGAGAGACTATTTGTTGTAAGGATGAGTGTGGCTGGACAGACAATGAGGTGAAGGAAAAGGGGGAAATGAAGAAGAATATAACCAGCTTTTTGCAGTGTAACTCCTTTATGAAACCCCATCTATTCTGTTTTCTATTCATTCGATAACTTACTAATGATCAGCCTCCCAGGCACTGTAATAAGTTTTAATGATTACCCTTTAATTAAAATGACATTGTGGTTAAAAGGTAAGTTTGGACAGCCATGAAGACTGAAGGGTTTTTTTAAAGGATTATTGAAAAAAAAAAATGTTGGGAACTACTTTGCCTGTGCTGACATGTATTTCTATGTAATTTAGAACAACTCAGCAGCTTCATCATAAGACCTCTTGATATTTACTTGATCCTTAAAATCCTCAGTTTTAACTCACCAAGTAACTAATCATTTCAATCTCCAGTAATATTGCATGTTTGGATGGTTTGGGGACACACTAGACTTGACAAGACTTACATATTTTCTTTCATGAAGTGCTGTCTTTATTGAAATACACGAAAACTCCAAAGCAAGAATCTTCTATCAGTAGGTTTTGTTGATTTTACTTCCCACAGCAAACTTGTCCATTTTCCTCCTTATCTACCTCTGACAACCCTAATCCAACCCTAATCCATTATCTTTCACCTGACTTTCTGAAATAGCCTCTTGACTGGTCTCTAAGCATTTATTTTATTGCTTTGTTTTCTACAGTGCAGACACAGAGATATTTTCAAAAGGCAAATATGATTATGCCACCTTCTGTCTACAGACTTTTCAATAGCTCCCCATTGCTCTTTGAGAAAAGATCACAAACCTTTACATGGCCAGGGAGCCGTACAGTCTGGGCATCTCCATTCCACTGCAGGGTCATCATGCACTACGATGCTCTACATTCTCTTTGCTTCCATGTTCTCTGAACTCCAGGACTTTTTAACTTCTTGGAGTACAGTATGGTTTCTCGAGCCACAGGGCCTTTCCATATACTGTTCTCTCTGCTTGGAATACTTCCTCTCTTTATGGTTTTTGCTGAATTAACTTCTATTCATGCTTCAGGTTTTATTTTCTCAGAGAAGCCTTTCCTCTACCCCATGCTTCTCTGACTAGAAAATATTCTTCCATTATTTGTATTTATGGAAACCTTTTCCTCTTTTTCATAGCACTCAAATAGTTGTCATTTTACATTTTTCTCTGATTGTCAGATTTCTGATTTTTTTTTTCCAGCAGCTCTAAGTTCTCTTATATTCTAAGTGCCTGGAACAGAACCTGGCTTATAGTAGATAACATATTGGCAAATATCAGGATTATTTGAATAAATTAGTAAATAAGCATATGTAATTTATTCCTATATATGGATTAGTCAGCTAGGGTATACTTCTTGGCTTATGCTGGGTGAAATTCTGAAGTGCTGACTTCTAAAATGACGTGCTTCCACGTGTAGTTTTCCTTTCTAAATATTCTCTTTAATTATTATTATTTTTTAAGTTTTCACTTGCCTTTCCATCTGCGAACACGTGCTGGTGTATCTGCACATACACATCATTTCACCATGCTAAGTTTTCACTCTAGGTAGTCTTTGGTAATACGTGAAGGAAAAGAGAAGTTTCTTCCTCACTGATGAAGTCTAGCTACTTAAATCATACTTGGCAAATATTATATGTATCAATCTGTTTTCTACATATGATATTATATGTACCAATCATCGTTTAAGTTTTAAGAAGAATGGAAAGAAATACTTGTAGCAAAGGTTGAATTTTTTAATGACTTTAAAACATTTCAAAAATTTGGTATTTAGCTCACTATTTCTACTTACAATCTAGGAAAAAAAATCAGTAATTCATTTCCAACAGAAAATACATAGCAATTTTAATCATGAATTATTCTAAAACAGCAATAGGCACATTGCTGAAGTATAGTTCTTAGAGTTCCCTAAAAAAATTATGTCAACTCCTTAAATACGTTATGATTTGATCAAGTTGAAATAGCTCCCAGGTACATGAAAGTGCATTGAATTTAATAAATAATCTTTGGTAAGTAGCGGCATAAGTGCACTGGCGAACATACTGATATTGGTCAAATCTGATATTTTTCACGCCACTTCAACAGTGCTGGAGTAATTGGTCCCTCTGTATCCCTTGTCAGTTTCTCATCACAGCATGGTGTGCAAGGAAGCACAGACAGCCAGTGTTAAAAAATAGGTCATACCAATATGGAAGCCCATCATGAAGATGAAAAGTATTCACTTATCATTCAGCAAACAAATACCAGAAAACAGAAACTCTGTTATAATTTCACCTCATTTTCTTTGTTATGATACATCTGAAAATCTAATCAAAATAGAAGGGTCTAGATGACTGAATGTGGTATTCCAGGTATTCAATTCACTAATAAATGTATTCCCTGAAAGAATACAGATATTTGCCTAGAATGTAGTATGTCTAAAAATGATGAACAACATTATAAAAGATACAAGTGTGTCCCTTATTTACAACAAGAGGTTCTGATCTGGAGTATGGGATGGGGAATTTGAGTCCAAAAGGTACAAGAAGCATGGACAGCAATACCCAGGATACTTACAGAAACAAAGAACAAGGCCAGATTTTCATATGCAGATTTTTTTTATTATTACCACTGGGTCCAAAGAAGGCTTACAGCATTCCAACAGGTGAGAGCAAGGAAAGTTCCTGTGAGGCTGTGGGGAGACTTACCACATCTCTGGGTTCTCCTTCATTAGGGGTAAGAAGGACTGAGAGCAAAATGATTCCAAGATCATGGTCAGGATAATGGGGATCTTTCAGAGGTAGAGTCACATCCATGGGCCTATGATATGAAAACATTTCAATTTTGAACAGTCATCAAATGAATAAGACAAAGATATATTTTATACCTGTATATATATTTATACTACATATATATTCATATAAATATAATTTATTATTTTAAGAAGAAAATCTATTTTGTCTTCCTTTATTTTCCTGGTACAATTTTAATTGTTATCAAAATATTAATGCATTATGTCATCCAACAAACTGTGGGCCAACTGGGTGAGTTTCTGCCTTTTATGGGTGTTCTGGTTACCTAGTGCCACTCTGACAAGAATATACCACAAATGAGATTGCTTGAACAAACAGGAGTTTATGCTCTTAGAGTTTGTGAGGCTAGAAGTCCAAGTTCAGAGTGCCAGGCTCCAGGGGCTGGGTGAAAGCCCCTTGACCTTAGGCTTCAACTCTGCCTCTTGCTCCCGGCCCACTGAAGCTAGAGGCATCTCTTCACTCAGACAGCTACTGGCTGCTGAGGCTGACAAACCCAAGGTCAACAAATAAAATGGCACAGTCCCGATGTTACCAAACCACATGGCAGGCAATTAATTCAAGTGCATTGTAAGTACCCAGGTTGGCAGAGCATGGCAGGCTGCTGAACAATGACATGGCTACATGCAGAGTCCAAGCGTGCCAAAAGCTTGAAACTATCCCCAAAGTTTCTCCTTATATACAGGAAGCAGACCACATACCCAAAGCAGCTACTCAGCTGCTTCTGGTAGATCCCACCATGGAGTTGATTGCCAGTCTCATCAGGGGGAATAACTACCACCAGTTGCCCAGCCACTCAACCAGGCCCAGCCAAGTTGACACACAACCTTAACTACCACAATGGGTTTCTGGAAAGTTTCTGAAAAGGTCAAGAAACTTCAACAGTATTTTTATTTTATCATTTTATTTTTTAAAATTGTGATTTAGGTGAAAATTTACAGAGCAAATTCACTTTCCATACAGTTGTTCACATAATACTTTGTCTCATGACATTGACCATAATTTATCACAATGCAACAGTTCCCCTCCCTCCCACTTCCTCCCAATAGTTACCTCTTCCCTGCATCCATCCCTCCATGCACTCCTGCCCCCTGAGCTGTCTCCCTGTGCATAACAAGCCCTTCTTTCTCCCATGATTGTTCTCTCCAAGGAGTGTATCTACCTCAGGTATATGTTCAACTCATATGCCTGTCTTAAGGGCAGCTAGGGGCCATAGTCTCAGTGGTTCCACCAGGCTCTATTGGACCAGCAAACCTGGTCCATCCCCCCTTTGTTCCCCCAAATGATTTTGAGTTTTGTTCCACATTGTTCTCCCTAAGAAA